TTTACCCGTTCCTTCTCATCCAATAAACAAAAATGCCCAAAGTGTGGAATAACTTGCCATAAAGAGGGATTTTGAGAACGCAGCAAACCCTTATCCTATTATCGAATGCCGAAAAGAATCAATTGTATTCATGTATTGTCGAAATCTAACCCCTAATGCTTACGCACGTATTTATTCATTAATGTTAATGATCGTATTATCACTGCAGTTGGACACTGCACCTGATGTTACTTTGATTTCTCGCAAAACTTGGCACTAACTTAGTCGGCCAAGCTTTCATCCTACAAACGATTACACAAAGAACGCATCAAGCATCCTAAACAAAATTTCCGGAATTATCAAATGTGTTGTCGACTTTAATAGTCTAGTAATCGAATCCAAATGTTATTTTACTGGTGAATCCTTCAATCTATTGAGTCTTGACTGGATTATAGAATTAAAAGTATTTAATTTTCCCTTTAATCTTATTTGTAATCCAGTTTCTGTAATGCTCTACCAGTCATCTAATCTTATTTCCAACCAAGTATCTTCCTATCCTCATATGATATACAAACGGAAACAGAAATTTTCTTGTTATCTTCAAAATGATCGCAAGAGGAAGACATAACCAGACATGACCTCCTAGCTCACCCTTGTGTTGTTGCTCAAGTAGTCAGTTGATGGGTTATTGTATAGCATACCGTGAATCAGTATCACATTTAGGATACCGCATGTCACAACAATCTTCTAAAATTCCTACTTACTTCCTTATGAAAACTTCTAATATTCGATTGAGCAAGACCACTTTTGAATCTTACCTTGGCCAATGTGTTAATATGTTTTGTAAAACGTCCCTTCAGTATTTTCTGATTTTACGGAAATTACCCAATAATCAATCATTTTTGCATAAAAAGGTAGTTTATATCAGGTTTTACTTATACTTTGCTGCTTCATGTTCCTATGATACTTAATAACACTGAGATGAGTATATCCACATTTCATGTATATCAAGAATACTTACGAGTTCGTACCGTACTGTGAAATTCAATCTTAATAAACCTTGTAACAAAAAACAAACGCAAACTGAACTCATGAGCAAGATATATAAAGTTTGCATTTGCCGCATAAACTGTTAGGTTGTAAATAGCTTACATCAATTGGTTCAAAATAAACAAAATGAATAGATTGAATCATTTTAACATTTGACAATTTTTAATAGCTTCTATTAATAGAAAGTAGAAAAACAATCTAACTATGACAAACAAACGATGAATCAATGTATATCCTCATGCATAATATTTAAAAATTTCTTATCACCATTTCAATATAATTGAAAAATGTAATAAATTCATTCTCTTTATATTATCAGTAAGATAATTTCATTCGAAAATCACAAATGTATCATGGGTTCGAATCTCACGAAGCGGGATCTTGGATGCTCACTGTTGAGGAGTCACACGATAGGACGTAACGGTCGTCCATTGCTTCCAGGTTTTCCAAGGTTGTCTAGCTTCAATTGAATCATGATTTCAACTATATCATTAGTAAATTCGATAATCCATCACTAATATTACTACTATAATTATAAGTTGATATAGGTGTATATCTATATATAAACTTTAACTAAAGTCAAACTGAACAAATAAATCGGTCATCTTGAGGACAGTTAATTTTAATCTATATTCTAATGTCTTTTCACTTTTTCTTTTCTTTCATTGTTACTATTCAATGTCCAATATTTCTAAGAAAAATTTATCTGTTGTTGTTATTTATTTGAATCCTTCACTACGAGTGATCTCATTATACGAATTCCATTATTTAATAATAATAATAATCATTGTATAGTTTTGATAGTGTTATAGAATAGTGAAATTTTATGAAAGCAAAAATATTTTTTTTTAAAAAGTGAAAATAATGGGAGAATGATCGAAATCTTTATCCAAAATTGTAACTAACTAAAATAATCAATTATGTTTATTGTTAAAAAAAGTGATTTTTTATTTTTTTTTCTGGCATATGTTTAACTATTTTTCAGAAAAACAACTTTTTTATTTATTCATGAAGTTGAAAGCGTGAGTCAATTGAAGCTAGACCACCATGGAAAACCTGGAAGCACTGGATGGCCGTTTCGTCTTATTATGGGACCCCTTCTGATAATTAGTATTTATGAAGTGTTTTATTATGAATGAACAACTCACTTTTAATGAAATATATTGTCGTTTATTTAAAAAAATATTTTATACGATAGAAGTTTTAGCAAATGAAGCATATTTAATGCGTGTATTTGTTCATACTTATAAAATAAAAAATTAATGATCTCAACATAGTGCACGCAGTGTCGAGCCACTTAGACTAGTGGCCACATTACAACTTGATCGACAGCATTCGATTTTCACTAAGAAGGACTTGATACACATGACATTGATTACCACCCAGTGATCAACCAATTGTAATTAATCATAATAGTGTCAATTCATTGAAAATAGTGGTTCACCAGTAGTTATTATTTCTTGTAATCGTCCTTATCAGACAATCAGTATGAATGTTAATCTTAACTATTTTAAAGTCGGCAATCAAAATGTCTGGATCTTATCAAACAATATAAAGAAATATTTAATAACTTTAGGTATTGATAGAATTTTACGTGAAAATTTGATAAGTTTTTACCAGTTTCTATTTGACTGAATGTTAATCTATAATTTTCAAGTGATACATATTCATAATAAAGAATTATTTGTTAATATTTTATGTTATTATCATGGATTGGTTGAAGTTAAACATTAACACCCTTGGATGCCGGCTCAGCGGTCTATCAGTTAAGTGCTCGCGCACGAGACTGATAGGTCCTGCGTTCGAACCTTGTGAGGCAGGATCGTAGATGCGCACTGTTGAGGAGTCCCACAATAGGACGAAACGGCTGTCCAGTGCTTCCAGGTTTTCTATGCTGGTATAGCTTCAATTGAATCATGATCTCAACTGTATAAAAATTATTATCATTTAATTAACTTGAAATAAGCACAGTTTTAATGTTTACTTTTTCCCATTTTTTTTTATCCATTAATTTAAACTTAACAACAATGCACAAAAAATAGAAAGTATTATAGGTAGACGAATAATTTGGTGGCATATTTCCCTGAAGATAATCTAACTAGATTGTAAATGCATTATCTTAAGATAAGTGAAATTATTCGTTAAGTATTTTAATAGGATAGATACCATAGTTTTAACAGTATAATCATCTCATGCATTAACTTTGTATAACTTGGATAAAAGATAAAGTTCAGTCAGTTGGACTTTTAAGGACATATATTTATTGAAGGCAGAAAGAAAAATGATAAGTAGGATTTTACAAAAATTAGTATTATATGCAAATGAGTAGATTTATATTTTAGCGTGGAAATGATTTCCATTTACAGATCAAAACCGAAAAATATAAGAAACGAATACCATGATTAAAACTTAGAGAAACGGAGAATCATAGTTTTTATATCACCTACAGACTTCAGTTTTATAACCATTAAAAGCCTAGAAGCATTGGACAGCTATTTCATTTGAGTACAGGATTCCTCAGACATTCGCACTCACCACCCCACCAAGACTTCGAACTAGGACCTTTAGGTTTGGAGGAGAGCTATCAATTTATCACCGATGCCAACGATTGCTGATTGCTCGGTATTGAAACCTAACAAACTGAAAATGTAAATCTCTAGCTGACAACTCAATGCTTTGAAGGTTAAGTACTCGACACGAGGTCTAGGTTTGACCCCTTGAAGGGTCATGAATGATTACTTTGTAAAGTCCTGTACTATGACAAAACAGCTGTCCAGTGCCTACTAGTTTTCGACGGTTGCCTAACTAACGTTACTCCCTGATATAAACTACAAATTCAACAATCTCCGTAACTACATACACTAGAAACGGATCAGTCTTAGAAAATGCTATCATGACCTAATACAAACTAACTAATCGTTGACATATACGGAAGTATTAGGGATTTATTTATACTTTCAGTTTGGAATTACTTAAAAGGTTATACAGGATAATTTGATAGATTCAGACCCCAAACCTCATCACTATATGTGTATAACAAACAATTTAGATTGTTAAAAGAAAAATCATACCAAGACAAACAATAGGCCACACCCCAAGCCTTTGACTTAAAGGTCTAACCCACAAGGCAATGGATCATCGTGAAGAGATGCAGTCCCACGGTAGCCGGTGACCAACGATTGATTCATACACCATTTTTTACCTCAGGATACTGGAGTCCATGTGCACCATTGGTTTGGAATCAGGGTTTTTCAACTCCACTGTGTGAACTCTCCGTATCCATGGACCCCGTTAAAGCACCGGACATCCGCTTTTCGTCCTCTCAATTTGGTTAATAAATACACCCTGCTGCAAGAAGGCAGTGAGTAGAACTTCCGTATCAGTGGTTGTTTGCACGTGATAATATGAGAGCATTTTGAGAAGGAGGGCTAACTCTCCCCACTCTCTGCCGTCGAACACGTATACTTACGCACTTTCACGAAGTGTTTGCCACTTATCGTCAGTCTCATTATTAAGAAAGTCCAGAAGTAACACCACAATGGTACGCATGTTTTCATTTGTCTTTTGAAGGCGCAAGAGGAGATTACTATTTAAATTATATTTCTTAATGAAAATATATTTCGTCGTAGCAAAACTGGTCGTAAACATTTACGGATTAGTATACACAGATGCTAATCACTGTTTGAAACATTTTTTTACATAGTTTTTGAATATTTACAAGTTGAATGCTTGAAAATAGAAATCTTTCACTTTCGTATACTTAGTCTTGGAAATTCTTTGCTGTAGTCAAGCATATGGTATCGAATGAAGTGAATGTCATTAATAAATTTTATCAAGATCTATGGTTTATAATACGTTTTCATATATATATACACATAGTGGTTTGAAATTTAACAACCTACTTTGTTGCATTAGTGATCCTGCAGTAAACCAAAAACTATTTCTCATTGTAAATTGATTTTGTATTTTAGGATAGCATGGATGTCGAGCATACCATTCATATGGTGAAACACGTCCAATTAAAAATAATGTTAAACTAACTACAAAATAAGCAATTCCAACTGATATCCAAACCTAAAATTAAAACACAAGATTTAAATAACGTTGATAGTAAATTCAATTTTTAATCTGTTTATTCAATATCAAATAAAGTATTATATATGATATTCTCAACAACGTTATAAAGACTTCAATCGTTTAAAAATCCTCATAGAGTATTCGATGATAAGGAGTATTTAAGCAAACAATGGTTTTCAAAAATTTTATCACCGCCCCCAAATGCCTTGGTACGGCCGAGACTGGGGAGAGTCAGCTTTCCCTCTCGAAATGCTCTCACATGGCCACGCGTATATAGCCCCTGTCAGGGAAGTCCTACTCACTCTTGGCGGGAGCATGAAAAGAATGGACAACAGCTGGATAGAACTAGAAATAAAGGCCCAAGGCAAAGTGAGTTGGAGAATGCTGGTTGACAGTCTATGATCCATTGGGAGTAACAGGCGTAAGTAAGTAAGTAATCTGATGCATGCAGATGTATGTGTTCTAAATTTCAATCATTTACTTTTTGGTTTTAACTATAACCAATCAAGTACATTATCCTGAGACTTTTATTCATGTTTGTGTACTAAGCATATTATATGTATCTTTAAATGTGACATTTTTCTGCAAAGTCTAGATACATAGACTATTAACACTTATTTATGGTTAATTTTCAATCATCTCTACATCATCCATTAATGATCAATTTTATTCGGTCAAACTTTTACTGTGCAGCTGTCATTTCACCTTGTGGAAATAATGTCACCAATCGCCCATCTCCATTTCTGTCTAAAAGCTCGACTTTAACGTTAGATTTCAGACTCACATTTTTCTGATAAGTGTCAATAAACCTGAATGGATGCAACTAATGGTTTCTGCTAACTGCTTTTAACAATGGAATATCAAATTTAATAAATTATCACAATAATGCATCTAATTTATTTGGTTCGTGGCAAAGTTTGCCTGTAGTTAAAACTAAGTTGAAACCAGAGAGCTCTGGGTTTATTCCACGCCGGTATCATGGGTAGGCATTCATGAGGAGTCTCATAAATGTGTGAAACAGCTGTCCAATCTTTCCAAGCTCTTAATACTTGTCTAATGTATATAAGTTCATAATCTCAATAATATTCAGCAATTTCTACAAAACCCTAAACTGAAAAGCATTTTTTAACTAGAATTTGAACAAAATTTAAAATCTTTCGTCATATTCTTCAGTTACAACAAAATATGTGTTATCAGATCAACTTCAGATATTCTACCTCTTTTTGTTCTAAAATGATCATTCTGACATAAAGAAATATGACAGTTTTATTTTAGATGATATTTTGAATTAACTACATTTATATAGACAAATATTTGAGAAAAGATATTTGTCAAACTAAAGATGATGATTTGTTTCATTTTTATCCCTGTATCCATGACGTTTAAATATTTTGTTAACTTTTTCGGATATCCGATTCATGAATATAATATCGTGTTGTTTCTTACATTTATATATTTAGATAAAGATAATTTGAAATTATTAGAAGACAACGTCTTCAGTTGGATAGGTTACTTAAAAAAAACAACTAATCTTTAACTTAAAACAAAATCTCATCAATGAAATAAAATATTTCCGAACCAGAATTCTGATAGTAGCTGAGATGGACATTTTTTTGAAAAACAGAATTAGTATATTATCAAGGTTTACACATTTGCGACAGATTGTGAGTCTTTTGTAAACAGATGTAACTGCAGTTAAAATTTATAATTATTCGGTTAAAATAAATCTCCTATAGATAACATTATCACAAGGTTCGTTTGAGTAGTCCACCTCTTGACATCTCAGCTAGAATGTTTAGTTATGAGAATTCATATAGCCCTACAGTTCCTTGATATCTCGAATAATTCTGTTCACATAAAAAAGACGTAATATGATTTACACTAATTAGTAAACTTGCATTTATCAATGCAATCCAGTTTAATTTTTAACTCCGATCAAATTCTATCTTTCGTTGTAACGTGAAGGCTAGTTTAAATGACCCAACAACATATTGATCTTTGTGTAATGTTAGGTATTTAGAGATGATTCATATGAATTCCTGAACATATAATTCTTACTGAATGGCACTTGGCAACAAAACATATCTTCGATCCTGATAATACTGATACTTACTGTGAGATTCAAACCCACATCACTGTCCAAGTTGTTGTCACTGACTTAGTTGGATAATGACTAGTCTTTTTTTAGACTGTACTCTTTACCCTATGGGGTCACTGATTAGTAGCAGACTACATGATATGTAGTCCTTATGGATATTTGTATTCTCTCCATATAGGTGCTGTTATTGATTTTGTAAGCCAGTGTTATGCTTCAGATAGACCAACTTATGGCTAAATTAATTCATATTTCGATCAAGTTTGTTTCTTGAAATATATGTACAACCTATGCTTTGATCATACTTACTATTCGTGAAAAATTCTGCAAGCTTAAATTATTTATATTTTGAAGGTAATCAATAGAATATTCAATTTAAAAGTCAGATTAGAACAAAATATTTACAATTGATTGATCACTGAGTAGTGATCAATGTTATATATATCATGTCCTTCTTAGTGCAGATCGAATCCTATCGACCAAGTTGCAATGTGGCCACTAGTCTAGGTGACTCGCCAATGCGTGAACTATGTTGAGATGCGATGGTTGTTGGATTTAGTCAATACGAAACCCTGGACCTAGGTTTCGTGCTACTTGGCACTCATCAGGAAGGTGTAACTTTAATCTAGAGGGAACTGATGCTCCCTGATGGATTTGATTCCGTGTCACCCAGCTTCACAATCAGAGACATTACCACTGAGCTGTCCGGACCGCGACTGACCTCTGGTAGGACTAGGATGTATTTACAATAAATTGACCATTATCCAGTGACCTGTCAGAGAGCATCAGTTCCCTCAAGATTACAGGAACACCTTGCGGATGAGTGCCAAGTAGCACGAAACCTAGGTCCATGGTTTCCTGTTGACTACCTCCAACCACTATCTTAGAACAAAATATTTGTTAAATCAACATTAAATAATATGGTCATAAGACTTTTATCAGACTCCTAAATGTAGCCCGTTTTTTAAGAAAATAAAATACTTATTTTTATTCGATATGAATTTTCTAATACAATCATACTAATAAGGTTATCCGTAGAACACATGTTTCCTTTTCTTCTGTCTATATTAGTTAATATGATAAATTTAAAATCTCTAGAAAAGGGAAAAACCTAAATAATTTAATTAATAGTATTAATCAAATCATGCAACGGTCATATAGGGGTTATTAATTAAGGTTAATAAAACATCACTCAAATCTAAGCAGCATTCTAACTCAAAGTAAATGTTGGACTTTAACAGAAAATAGTTGAGGTTCTTAATTAAAAAATATGTTTTATAAAATCTGGTTCACAATACGGTGACACAAGAGAAGACTGATACATGGAGACAGAGTAACGCTGATTCTTGTTTAAAATAAAAATAATAGACTTTAGTTGGTGTAATTATCTTAATATCATCGTCTGTTTGGATGTTAGCTAAACAATGGATGATTAAACAGTATTTATCGAATACTTAAGAGCTTCTTTCATATTTGTTGAAACATTTCGTGATCGAAGATTTGGTTTGAAATTTGATGTTTTAAATTGATTCGTGAAAATGTTGATATTTGTTTAAATGATTTTTGAGGCGATTAGGAAACTAGGGTGCATTAGACAACTGATCTCACCTGGTTTGTGAATCTTCATTAAACAACACATTGATTTTCAGTAGTTCTTACATTGATGTCAGTTTATGAGGAAAATTACACTTAAAATTTATTTCCCTCTACTAATATTTTTGGCTAAAATATTGACAACTTCAAAGGAACACAAAACCCTGAGACAATGAAGTGATAAGATTGATGATTTGCTGGGAAATTTGTTGGTTTAACTAGTTTATACTTTGAATTTTTCTTGGGTCACATCACTTTAGAGCCTTTTTATTATTAGTGCTCACTGCGTTGTAAAGATTAAACAAATATGATAGTTCAACATTCTTTTATAAGATTTATCTTCTCTATGCCACTCGAATTAACTCCATGACGGAAACACTATTTTCAAATTACAGAGCTAAAAATTCCCTTTCATTATAACAACCGAAAGTCATAAATGAATAATTGTAATGAGTAAATTGAGGAGTTTTACTGAGAAGCCGGGTCTGACTGAGTTCATTCATGTTGGAAGCTTGGCGGATTGCTAAAAATGTTTTGAAGTTGAAAATAAAGACCACTGGATTCATCCATAATTATGTAAGTGCCCTTGGCATGGCATCCATAACTATCGAGCTCAGTTTGCTGGTGCCTGGTAGGTGCACATTATTTATGGGTACCAGGCCAGAATGAAACTGTATCCTAATGTTCTTTGGTTTACAAGGTTTTTCAAGCTAAGATTAGGTTATGATGAAAATGCTGGCTTATCGACTTTTATATCTGAATGAGAAAGAACTCTAACAGTTGCGTTTTTATAAGAATAAACAGTCCAGAAACATACTAGGATTTATCACAAATTCTAATAAATGGTTATTCATAAGAAGAACTCTGTATGTTAAAGTAATGCATCATTCAAACCAATCTATCTCCGTATTTATTTGTCATATCTTCTTCATATAAAATCTTATATTTCTTGATTCACCATATATATTTATGTGTGTAGATAGATTACAAGAAATAGGGCTTATAAGAGTAGATGACAAAACATTGGGTTTAGAAGAGCTAGATTTTTGGTTCTGGTCTCGGTGTAAACATCAACATTGGAAGGCAGGTACATTCAGACTTGTAAGTGCTAGTATCGAGACAGTCCACTTAGAACACACGAGACAAAACAGACTGATCAATTTCGATCCGTTATGTTTACAATTAGAAGATACCCCTACAAACCTTTTTGTAATTATTTGTTTTCCCACTACAATTGACATTCTTTTGTAGAATTCTTTGTTTTCCATGGTGGTCTAGCTTCAATTGACTCATGATTTCAATTATGAAGAATTCTTTGTCTTTATGAATAATTCAGTTTAGTAATTTGTTTTTTTCTGAATTGTTTATGATTAGAAATAAATGGATGATTTAATTGCTCAGTAAATATTTTCTAGTTCGATCACCAGTTTCATCTTAACAAATACCGAGAAATCCATAAATAATATAAAATAGTAATCTGCTGTCCCTCTTTTGTCAGTCATTTTTCAACTGTTATCAATCTGTAATGATAATAGTATACCAAAGTATAAAAATTCTCTATAAATTTATTGAAATTATAAATTTCTATTACTATTTTAGCATTTTTATGAATGAAGACAACTAAACTTACTTCATTTGATAATGGTGCTGTAAATTGTAATCCAGGGTCTGAATTACTTTTTTGTATGATAACACTTAAAGATAAACTCATAAATGGTGTAGTGAAATCAATCACAC